TCAAAATAAAGAACTTTAGTATGAATTCAAACGTACACACATAAGGAATTACAATTTTTACACCTATAAATCAATAAATAATAAAAAAGACTGGAAACATTTTCATAGGTTTGAAAAATTCCATAATTTTTGTTAAAAAAAACAAAAATGACAACTGGTGAAATTCATTTCTTTCATTCAATAGAAAATAAAAAAACAAGCAACAAACACTATTTGTTCATTGATCTTGAAAAAAAAAATACCCAATTTTACACAAAATCATGACGAAATGAAATGGAAAATCAATAGTTTTTCATGATACAAATCGATGTGACTACTAGGAAATTAGATATTCACATGGAACATAACATAGGACAAGCTGGTTTTGATTAGACACAGAGAGAGGGAGAGAGATAGACAACAATGACAGACAAAGAACACATGCGCCTGAGACATCGTGACCGATTTCGAGGCATCACCTAACGTATACCACTATTGGTTAGGATAGTCGCATAGTTTAAGCTTATCTCACCACCCAATCGAAGAGTGAATAACTTTATGGATTGATGAACTAGACTTCTTGACATCTTACTTCTTAACGAGCCTAGTTCATGAGTTAAGCTAGGAGGTGGTTGGCCATGGAAAATATTATTCTCCACCCATCTCAGTAGATCGGTGATTCACAAGCACAAATCTAAAATTGGAAGTAGAATGTTACTGACCATTTAACTGATATTTTTTTAGTTCACTAAGTCATTTAGTTACATGAACTTGTGTTCCAGGTTTTGTTATCAACCCTTGGTGATGTTTGTTGAATTAAACTGACTAACTTCACTTGCCACATAACTTCTTGATACAGACATCCTGAAATGAATAATGTGGTATTCTAGACCATAAATAAGAACCGAATGGAAAATAAATATATTTTAATCTGATAACTCTTAAGATAGTACTGAATAAATATACTTTGTATATGATTTAATTGATCGACTGATATCAGTTGGAAAACACCTCTGAGAACTAGAAAGCGTCTAACAATAGTTCCTTTTTAGTTTGGAAGTTTTTTAGGATATACACTTACGACTATCGCAAAGGAATGAGTCCAAAGTCTTCAGTTATGAAGACGGGTATGGTACCTGTAAGCTAGAATGTTCAACTTTTATCAATCCTCACCCTATGTCACTGACAAGTTAAAACCTATTTGGATTATTATCACAAAAATCACTTCTAAAATAATACACAAATCTGTACAAAACTATTTTATTTAACAAATGAAATTATCAAACCTATATTTCGTTTATTTATTCAAAAACTTAAATAAAATAAACTTTCCTTTAACATATGATAAATAAGCCATAATCACTAGCAGAGATATTACCTTTAAAATAATTTATACTGTTATGAACAATACTATTTAAAGAATTTTCGAGTTTTTATTTGAAATTTAAGTACCATTATTAAATGCTCTGTGGATAAGTTTCTACTTTCCAGTTGCAAACACAAATCTATGCTCAGAACGCCAAGCCTTTAACTAATATACAAGGCTGAAATATGGTTTCAATGCAGTGTCTCCTGACTACCCTAAGCAACAACGCAAGCATATTCGGGATACGGTTCTCACCCTCGAAATGAAAAATTTCGCTTCAAGATTGGGTTGCATCGGCACCTTTGCTTTTGCCAACATGCGTCACTTATGGCGTAGGCGAGATATCCGTTTGCAGACCAAAGGACGAGTGTACTGCGCAATAGTTCTCTCCGTCCTACTTTATGGCTGTGAAGTAGAGTAGAAGATATTAGTAGATTGCTTGAATTCAGTCATAGATATCTCTGAAGCATTGCTCGTGTATCATGGGACAACCGAGTGAGCAATGCCGTTGTTAGGAAACGGGTCCTAGATAAGGGCGGCAGGTCAACAGATGAAGTAGTAAAACTTCATCAGTTGAGGTGGTTGGGACATGTGCTGCGTATGCCCAGACACCGACTGCCTCGTCGAGCTATGATTTGCGATGTAGGAATAGGTTGGAAGAAAGCTAGGGGAGGTCAGACCAAAACATAGCAGAAATCCATGAAGTCACTGACAACAGGACTGAGTCATGTAGGTAGGTGTCGACTACCTGGTTGGGATCCGTTTGAAAATAGTAACCGATGGTTAGAGACCTTGAACGACATAGATTAAAATCGTTTGCAATGGTGAAGATGCATTCATTCTTTGTTTTCTCTCAAATCCTAATCCTCTGGATTCTTCATCACATTTATCTTTCGCGTTTTAAGTTTGTTCTACTAGATTCTACTTCTTCGTCGAATCCAAAAATTTCCGATGACTGCTAACACTTCTAACATCTCTACTACTATGTCATTTGAAGTGACAATTGCATCTGTATGCTAATATGGTATGGCAACTTGAACTGATGTATGTACGCACGAAGCTCTACGTTGCTGTCGATTGATTGATTGATTGGTTAATTCAGTAAAAATTTAAACATAAGCTTAGTATTACAAACTCTAGCGGAAAACATTTAAAATAATTATTTATAAGTTAAATTATATAGAATATGGAAAGTAATTTTAAATGCCTATTGTAAAATTAATGGCATGTAGTAAATGTAAATATCAATGAAAAAAACAACCAAATTAAATGTAAGAAATACAACACGTAATGAAGACACAACTGAAGAACACTGGATATTATTATTATTATTACTATTATTATCATTATTATTACTATAACTATTATCGTTAACATTCAGGCATGAATCAGATAGAGATATACATTTCAAGGTCAGTTGTCGGAAAATAATCCTAAGCTAAAAAATAAACCTGACATCAAACAGAAATCCATATCATGTATATATATATATATATATATATATATATATATATATATATATATATATATATATATAACGTCAAAGTTGTCTACAAATATCTATTGCAAAATCAATAATAACACATATTAAACCTTGAAAAATAGGAAAACAAACCAGTGACTAATACATATGATGAAAGAGCTTCTATGCACATATTAAAAATATATAACTAATGAAATAAAGTATGCAGTTAAAGATGTAAACATAATTTTGTTTTTCTCTGTCAAATGATTAATTTTCCGATAAATCACAGAAGTATGTTGAAAAAGAAAAAAAATGATATTCACCAAGATAAATTTTCGATTTTAAACTGATTGGTAAAAAAAAGAAATGGAAATGGAGAACACTAGGTATTACCATGAGCTAATTGAACGTAATGTAGATTACACAATTATCCGTCTGCGGATTTGGAGCTTAACTTAACTTAGGGAGATTTACGTAATGCGAAGAGAATGAGGGGAATAATATATAAGTGAGAAATATGAGAGATAATTTTTTTCCTTCGTTGAAGTTTCTTCATGTTTATTTAATTATATAATGGGTTATTCTAATTGACCTAAACTCTACCGATTATTTTTTCATCCGGCTTTACAGCTATAAATCCAAAATCGGTCATGATTATGAATCAATAGATAAAGTATTAAAGTTCAATGAATCTATGGCATAGGATTGTGCTTACTCTATGTAGATTAAGTAGCCTGTATTGATTCAGCAAAACCCAACATATACATACAAAAAGGTAGATACAACCCTTCCTGTTCAGCTTGGCTGGTACTATGATCGTTTCATTTTTAATTCCAAGTATGTCCCTTCCCCCTTCCTTGTGATTTGTACACTCTTTCAAGACATTTTTTATCTGCAACTTTAGTAATTTAAAGGTTAAGTGTTCACACGTGAGACCAAAGGCCCTGAGTTGGATTGATTCCCAGTCACGAGTTCGTGGATGCACACTAAAATTGAACGACCAATCAGTGTTTCTTGTTTTTCAATGGTCGTCTAAAGTGGACTTGTTTGTGATGTCAATTAAATTCAACGATCTCCACAACCCCATATACTAACCTGAATCGGATATTTACCTTTCACATTTTACGTTCTACTCTTAATGCTATCACTATTAACGTGTGGTTACATACGATTTCAACTTATTGATTAGAACTCATTGCCTTAATTATGGCACATAGTTTTAAATATGACCTTTAATAAACATTGTCTTTAATTTGGAACATTTAAGACTTAATCGACGCGAAGTACATTATTTTGTCTCTTGCAACACAATAAGAATAATTTATAACTGTAGAGTCTGATCGTTCGCTCTAATACTCTTTGTTCTTAAACAGTGATATATATATATAAACTTCTTTTACATTTAGTGTCTTGTTAACATGTATAAAATATAGGCCAGTATCATGATATATGAATAAGCAGAATTAAATGTCAACCAATATCAATCATGCCTAAAACTTTTCAATATTTCCAAAGTACCATTTATTCACCTATTTTGATCCTCAAAAATATACAATACTGCAGATTTCAATGTATGTTACATGATCAGAAGTAGTCAACAGAAAATCATAAACCTAGGTTTTTTTGACAGTTGGAACCCGTCAGTAAGTTATAGTGATAATCTTGAGGGAGCTGATACTTTCTTTAGTGTATTCACACTCGGGTCGTCCAACGTCATGCTTTGAGATATTTCCCGATGCAATAAGTATAGCTCAAAGACAAATAATACAAAAATTTAAATAACCGCTTGATTAATGCGCTTAAATATGCAAAAACAAAATCAGTCCGTCAAACTATCCATAGTACAACAGAGAATTTATCTTACGAGTGAGAAACTTAATGAGGTAGTATATATATAATAACAGTTTATAGCTAGATTGTTTTTTGCTTTCCTAATAGATAGATAGATATATTTAATTGATATTCTCAAAGCAGAAATATATATTTTAAGTATTACCAAGAGTAACACCACGATGAAGTCATTCAGAGAGAGGTTTAAGTTCCGGGTGTATAATTGATAGTTTAATTACTGATAGGATAACTGATGTCAGTAGATATGGTTATGAGAACATGAAACCAGTTACGCTGATCATTATTTTCAGAAACAAGAAAAATCTTTTCAAAAGAAAAATACTATTTAGGAAAATTTACTTGTGATAAAAGAACTTCGGGACTAAGATAATCCGGTGTTCCAACAGCTGCATCACAATGAATTAAAGAAGTTTCTGGATCAACACGTACAGCAGTACCAAAATCAGCTAATTTCAAATGACCACCAGCATCTAATAATAAATTGTCCGGTTTTAAATCACGATGTATAAATCCCATTGCATGTAAGTCAATTAAAGCAAGAATTGTTTCAGCTGCATAAAATCGACAAGCTGCTTCTGACATGAACTCTACTTCATCCATCCAACTGACAAGATTACCACCGGGAACATATTCCATAACCATATACAAATTTTTAAAATCCTATTTGTTTGGACAAAAAAAAAGATTATAATACTATTACAATACCTACTTAGGAAATTAGTTAAGATATTAAAGTGAATGGTGAACGTCTGTTCTACAAAAAATATTGATTGAACTAAAGTTGTGTACACAACATACTTTGATAGTATTTAATAAAACTTTTTAATTGGAATGTTGAGTTTTGTCATAACAAAAATACTCCCTGGATATATATTTTCGATGAAGTTGGTTTGTGCAACCGTGAAGCTTTCATTGTCTTTTTTGACCTCATTAGTACAAACCTGAGATAGAAGTTAGGTATTTGAATTTAGCCAGATATGAATAGTAGTTTATCTTGTTGACCTTATTTTAATCGGTTGCAGCCAACTCTTGTCCTATCAATGGTCTGTATATACCACCAAGCCTAGAGAAAACAACTCTACCAAAATCATCCTTCTGAGCTAACATCCCAGTTTCAAATTAGAATACTAATCAACAATCAACCAGTGGTACAGCTATGGAATGATAAGACGACGTTGAATTCAGAAATTTACATGTACTAACATTTTAGCCAATCAACATCAGAAATACATTGAATCAAAATTTACCGTAAATGTTAGGCTAATTACAGATAAATACCGAGTAAGTTGATAATCAAGTAGGTTGCAGTATGTGTACAAATATGTCAAGCGCACATGGCTAGTCCCAGTCTTTTGACAAATTAATTAATAAATTGACGAGTTGTTCACATGTCTTTCGACCTTGTCTATTATTCGCTCATAACCTCGGTTATTTTTACTTGAGTCCATATGTGCGTTGTTTACTTCATTTGTCACATGTCTAGTCTATTTTTGTCTGACTACGAATACTTAGTCATGCCTCGTCACATTGAATCAGCTCACTCTCTTCCAAATTGCTCCGCTTTATTTTTACACTTCATATTCTCATGTCTGTCAGTGTAAAAGATTGCATAAAACAAATTCATCTAAAATAAACCAATATCGGGCTTTTAATTGCCACCATCGCACAAACGAGGTTCGTCTAGGCATGATATCCGGAGACTGAAGGAAAGATTTATTTCATAGCATAAACAAATATTTGTCCAAATTGAAGTCAGATCCCAGACCATTAAACGGTACACCGTTAGATCCTGACATGTCACTTTAATATTTTAAAAAGAGGTTGCAAAGTGAATGAGATTTTCATACCATAGATTCTCCAAATATTTGTACAGATAAGTGATGAATGAAGGTTTCAAGTGTGCAGTTGGCATGACAGATCAACTATAACGGGATATACGATTTTGTCTTGAAATTTGTGGAAGATATTCTCTCACTTTGCGTTCTCAAGTGAGAACTACATAACTTTGCATTTGCATAGTTATGTACAGTAAAAATGTGGCTTTACTTCAGACGAAGAGCATAAGGTATATAACACCATAGGATGTATTTATAAAACCTAATATCTACAAAATAATGATGCCCAACCATCGTAATCAGTGCTAGTATGAAATATAAGACAACTATCATCAAATGAGTCAACAATAAATGATGAGGTTCGGTTGAACTTTATTTAATTAATGGTTTTTTACAGAATCTGAAAGTTATTTCGATAAACCACTTGAAATTATTTGATATTATCAAAATAAATATCACTCTCAACAGCATTATATAAGTAAGAATAATTATAAATTACCTGATAAGCATAATATAATTGTACAATCCATGGACTTTCCCCATGTGACATGATTTCTTTTTCAGCCCAATAATCTGTGTGTTGTGCAAGCATTCGAGATTTCTTTAATACTTTCATTGCACATACACGACCTGTTGTAATTTCACGAACAAGTTGGACACGACCAAATGCGCCATGGCCCAATGAACTGATAAATGAGAAATCTTCCGGTTTACGACGATATGACTGTAAACATACTGCCACATTGAGAAACCTTCAGAAGAAGAAAATAAAGAATTTATGGATATATATGCATGACTGATTCGATCCCGACCATAATTCACGCTTATACAATAGCCGATTATCTTATTTTTTAAACACAAATTGTATACACATGTATTTCTTTACTTACTACGACTTAAACAAATTTCACACCAAATACACAAAAGATCATACCTAACATCTTCACACAGCTACGTACATAGATATTTTTGAACTTATGTATAGATGTTAATTTTGATTTTTGATTATGTTCCTGAAGTTCAAAGTAGGTTATTGAGAGAAATGCTGCTTTGTTTGGTTTCGTTTGCTGGTAATTCTAAAAACATAATTTTAATTTTGTGTGAAAGGAAGCTCAGTAATTTTCAATATGTACGGTTAGCCTGAAATGTCTTGTAACTTGAATATGACATTCATTAAGGACTTATATCAGTAATGATAATTCATTAAAAACAAAGAAGTAACGAATAGCTGTTTTGTACTGTTAATGAGTCTAAATCTAGAATGAAACAGTTATTCCATACTCCTTATGTGTCAAGTTTGCTCTACGAAGATAGGTACTTTACGGAAATTATCTTTAAAAATGCTAGTCGTATTGTAATTTATATTCTTTCTTAGTGCATCTGTTAAATCAATAAATATAAAAGCAATAATTTTTTTAAGCTGAAATAATTTGAAAACACACAACAAATGAACGTTTAGTTCACATTTAGTCTCAAACAACTTCGGAGTATGAAGCCTCTATACATCTCGACTAAAACCATTGATGAAAGTTAAGAGTGTAATCTAATGGATCTCAACCAAGCAGTCTGAAAATATAAAATTCGTCGAGAGGCTTGAGGGATCTGAGTTCAGTCGCTAGCGAGGATGTACATTCTCACTACTGAGGAATACTGTGCTTCCAAGTTTTAAATGCTTGTCTAGTTAAAACCAGTCCGTGATGTACATTACAAGATACCGATAAAATAATGATTGAGTTGCTAAATAATTCATATTCTATCAAACCAAAAATGTTTTAATGGCAGAATTGAAGTTACATGTTTAATTTGTCTCAAATACAGTTCGATTACATGACAAACAGAAATTTTTTCTCAGTAACTGTCCTTAGAAATTTTCAATTTGTCACTGTACTGACATCTTAAACTGGATTCATTAATCTTTAACAGGGATATCACGAATTCTGTCTCGTCAATCATCACCAATATAAGAATACACATTCATGTAAATAAAACTGATTTTGTACATACACCTTAAACTGGAGGATATTTCAAATTTCCATACAAACGTTAGTTCATGCAATGGTTTAAACGAGTAAACTAATAAAAATACTTGTGAAAAAAATAGACAAAGTATATAAAGAAAGCTTTATACTTTCTGCTGTGGTTCACGAAACGCCGCTAAACATGATTAGTGGAATACAGAAAGGAATTATTCCGATCTGTTCTTTTATGGTAATATTTTCAGTTAATTTATTACACCATTTGGTTTTATTGTTAATTGTACTGTTTAAATTTATGGTAATGGGAACCAATTTAGTGCTTAATCAGTTTTTATATGGTTATATCTATTTTTAAGAACTAGTGACGTACAACACAACAAAATAAATGCAATAAACCAATTGAAGTAATGAACTTTCATCAGCTAAAGCGGTTGGGATATGTGTTACGTACACGCAACCACCAACTACATCGATGCGCGATATTGTCTGGTGTAGAAGTGGGTTGAAAGAAAGTTAGGGGTGGCCAAACCAGAATATGACACCAGCCCATGAGGTAATTGGCAATCTAACTGAGCCATGTTGGTAGGTGTAGACTACCTGGTTGGGATGCGCCTGACAATCGCAACCGGTGGTTAGAAACATTGAATAGTACGGCTCAAAATTGTTGGTAATGACACAAATGCATCCATTCTTTGTCCTTCTTTAAATACTAAGTTTCTGAATTCTTCATGACGTTTCTTTTTTTATCTACTTTTCTCTTCATTTTTTACCTGGTTTGTAACTTTGCAAGTCATATCTTTGATTCCTAATCTTTCCCATTACCAATAATACTGCTACTACCACTACCGCTGTAGGGATTAAATGAAAAACTCATCCCTTTGTGTTCATTTGTAGTGGAAACTTGAAATGATGTATGCATGTACCAAGTTCGGGATTGCAACGGACTGAATGACTAAGAAGAAACCACTACTACGTATATACTACCGTAAGAATTGACAGAGATCATGACCATTATTAATTTTCTTCGTCCGAAAAAGCCAACCAAGTTTTGTGTTATCCTTTAGATGTTCAGCGGCATTACAATGCTTTATATTTTGGAATATTTCTCAAGCAGAAGGGACTGATTAGTTTAGGATCTATATTCTTTAATTATCAGATTAGGAGTTCCGATTGTACTTCATTATGTATTAATTGAACCAAATAACACGTGGTAGAATAAAACAAATATGATTGACTTTGTGAACCAATGATAATAAATCCTTGTGTGTGCCCACAGATATATGACCAATCGGTTTAATGGTAAAATTACACCAAATGAAATTAAAGCCATTAAAAATAAGACAAGCAAAACAAGTTCGATCCTCAAACTTTAGTTTGCGGAACGGCGTGTAAATATGGGATCAAAAGGCTAAAAATTTAGTGACTAAATTGACGAAGCATACTAAAGAAATTATGTTGAAAACATGAAAATAGTAGCCTTATCTCGAAAAGGAAAATATCTACGTAAACCGAGTGATAAAATTACTTTGAATAAATTTGCATTTATATTATGCGTCGATTGGCTTTGTCAACACTTTATCGCTTAGCTTCTACAACAATTTGAACATATTCCCAGAATGCCGTTGAAGTAAATTTAGGAAGCAAAATGTTTTCATGTTATTTAAACAATTATACACACTTAGCGAACATCAATTAAAATAAACACTTAAATAACAAACAAATAAACCTGCCTTTGCAAAAATGCCAACATGTTCTCATTTTTTACACTTTTTACACTTTTTGTACATTCTGTGACACATGCTACAACCACATCAAGGAGGCGTTCTACATAGCAATCTGAAAAAGGGTCTGATAAGTGCTTCTCCAAAGCCACAAGTCGTTCTTTGATATCTATGTATTGGTCAGTCTGGAATTCGTTAAGATTTGAACATGACTTGTTCATGATGACTAAAACTAAGAAAAAAGAAATATTATAACAATAAATTGGAACTTTGTGTTGTTAATGAGCAGAATCAAAACGATAAAGTGTATGCAAATGAAATTGAGTTTGTAGGATAATTTGATGAATGAGGATGGTCGGACAAAAGGTTAGATCAAATGTATTAAAAGCTGGCTAGTTTGAAGGGTCTCCTCACTTACAGAGACATTTCGTCTCTTTATTTATTGCGTGGAGGGTTAGTAGCTGAAATGACAATGCACGGTTTCATCGTACTCATAGATTTCTCAGTATTCTAGTCTCGCGTGTGTCGACGGTGATACATTTGGGGGAATTTTGGACTTATGGTATCAGATATCGGTTGTATAATACTTTTTCTGCACCACCTCATAATGTCTTCAGTGTTGTCACTATAACGAAGGGGAGAAAGAATATCTTTTAAGATGAGTGAGATTTAGAGGGTATCTAGGACTTCAAAGTAGTTATCCAAGTTCTTCTATGGCTTAAGCGCGACACGAACTGATATTGGCACAATAAATAGGGAATGTATCAAACCATTTCAAATTGTATAGGTTCATAACTAAGTAATCACAACATTTGCCTACACAATCGCTCCAAATATCTGCCTAATTCTCCTGAACTTTCAATGTGCGCCATTCAGTATTGCAATTAAAGATCTTACGGATGAAGCAATAAATTTTGACATGAGGTCAGGAATGACACAAAACGCTGCGTAATAAACCACAAACAAACTAAGGTTTGACAGTTACAACTGTAGTAACGGTAAAATTTTTGAAGTCATACCGCCGACTAGTTAGTAAGAAATTCGACTTACAGAGTGCTTATCTGAGATATTTCCAAGAGTGACGAGTGCTCTTACAGCTGTTAACTTGTGATAAAGGGTAAACATATTTTACATGATGAAATGCAAGCCTGGATGAAGTTCCATATGTCGATGGAGATAACTGTTTTCCTCACAAAAATGAGACTTAAGTATAAAAGTACTATGAAAATGGGTCAAATTAAAAAGTTAAGGACACACCTTTGAAAAAATGAGAAGTACCGCATATATTTAACTAGCCACTATTTCTGGCCTCATTACATGATGGTTTTAAACTAATGCGGATTTAGTTTTCATTATTATTGATAGTAGGTCATTTGGACTGTTTTACTTGTTTCAGCTTGTTTTCTAATAAATATCTGGCTGCTCGATGAAAGTTTTTACTGATGGAGCTGATGCCATTTGTTCGGGTAAGGAGTTCTAGTTACTAACTACTAGAGAAGACAACCTGAGTCGCATTCTTAATTTATTCGATCGATGTTATTGCATAATTACATAACCACATATTCTGAGCAAACTCTAGTTTGATAATATCTTCATTCAGGCATGAGCCAGTTGCTTAAATGCTACACTCTATATATGGCCTCATATATGTGGGATATAGAGGTTATCCTAATCATAGTGTTCGAATATTCAGCTCATTGCTGATAATATCAGAAACTTCTAACATCTTCCTCGTTAATATGATCAGCTGTTTCGTAAGGATTGATCGTGTAACAAACAAATTGCAACGTTACGGATCATTGTGGAATCATCAATTGAATGGAGCTCACCGCTCTACATCAACTTCATCGACTACGAGAAAGCATTCGATTGTGTGGAGAAGACAACTCTGTGGAGACCTCTTCGACACTACGGTGTGCCTGAGAAGATAGTCAACATCATACGGAATTCTTATGATGGATTCAATTGCGAAATCGTTCACAGAGGTCAGCTGACAGACTCGTCTGAGATGAAGACCAGTGTGAAGCAAGGTTGCTTATTCTCATAGTTTCTCTTTCTCCTGCTGATCGACTGGATTATGAAGAGGTCAGCATCTGGAGGGAAGCACGGTATTAGTGGACAGCTAGGAAGCAGCTGGACGATTTGGACTCCACAGATGACCTGGCTCTTCTATCTCACACGCAACAACAAACGCAAGGAAGACGACCAGTGTAGCAGTAGCCTCAGCAGCAGCAGGTTTCAACATACATAAAGAGGAAAAGTAAGATTCTACGATACAAAACAACATGCACCAACCAAATCACGCTTGATGGAGATTCTTTGGAGGACCTTGACACCTCTACATATCTGGGAAGCATCATCGACGAGAAAGGTGGATCGGATGCAGATGCTGAGGGCGCGGATTGGCAAAGCAAGGGCTGCATTTCTACAGTTGAAAAATATATGGAACTCGAAAAAACTATCAATCAAAACCAAAATCAGGATTTTCAATACAAATGTCAAGACAGTTCTACTGTATGGAGCGGAAACCTGGAGAACTACCAAAGCCATCATCCAGAAGATACAAGTATTTATGAACAGATCCGTTGGCCAGACACTATCAGCAACAACCTACTGTGGGAGAGAACAAACCAGATTCCAGGGAAGGAGGAAATCAGGAAGAAGCAGTGAAAGTGGATAGGACACACACTACGAAAAGTACCTAACTGCGTCACGAGACAAGTCCTCACATGAAAGCCTCAAGGTTAACGGAAAAGAGGAAGGCCAAGGAACATATTACGCCGAGAAATAGAGAAAGACATGGGAAGAATGAACAAAAATTGGGAAGAACTAGAAAGGGAAGCCCAGGACAGAGTTAGATGCAGCGAAATGGTTGGCGGCCTATGCTCGATTGGGGGTAACAGGCTTAAGTAAGTAAGTAAGTGAGTAAGTAAGTAAGTAAGTAAGTAAGTAAGTAAGTAAGTAAGTAAGTAAGTAAGTAAGCAAGACAAATTA